GTACCTGGCCCAGAAAATGTATCTTTTTAAAAGGTAACTGTGAGCTGTCTACAGGACCCTGCAACTCACTACCCAATTTTCGAAGCCATTCCTCCTTCTGTTCCACACAGGTTTCCACCATACACATTACCCAGATGAGAAATGGAGGTGGGAGTTTTAGTAACTATTCCTCCTCCATTCCATCGACTCCCAGCACCAGCCAGGAGGACCTTCAGATCAATGTTCCTCCCACTGCCAACACACCCACGCCTGTTCGCAAGCAGTCCAAGCACTGGTCCAAACTGTTTACATCTAAGAAAGGGAGTGACCCAGACAAAGAGAACAAAGCCCCGGAGAGTCATGCTGACACCATCGGGAGTGGCAGAGCCATCCCCATTAAACAGGGCATGCTCTTAAAGCTAAGTGGGAAATGGCTGAAGAAATGGAAAAAGAAATATGTCACCCTCTGTGACAATGGCATGCTCACCTATTATTCAAGCTTAGGTGATTACATGAAGAACATTCATAAAAAAGAGATTGATCTTCGAACATCTACCATCAAAGTCCCAGGAAAGAGGCCACCCCTAGCCACATTGGCCTGCGTGCCCATTTCCAGCTCTAAAAGCAATGGCCTATCCAAGGACATGAACAGTCTATGTACCTCAGCCAATTCAGACACCGGGCTGAGTGACTCCATATGCTCCAGCCCCAATATCTCCAGCACCACCAGCCCCAAGCTCAGCCCACCCCCCTCTCCTCATGCCAACAAAAGGAAACATGGAAGGAAGAAAAGCACCAAAAACTTAAAAGACGATGGCTTCTCTGGCACTTCTGAAGAACGAGAAGAAAACTTTATCATTGTGTCCCTCACTGGCCAAACGTGGCACTTTGAAGCCACGTCGTATGAGAAGCGGGATGCCTGGGTCCAAGCCATCGAGAGCCAGATCCTGGCCAGCCTGCAGTCATGCGAGAGCAGCAAAAGCAAGTTCTGGCTAATCATCTAGAGGGAGGCCATGGCCCTGCAGTCCATCCGAAACATGTGGGAACTCCCACTGTGTGCACTGTGAGACCCAGAATCCTAACTGGGCCAGTTTGAACTTGGGAGTCCTCATGTGTATTGAATGCTCAGGGATCCACTGTAATCTTGGCACCCGCCTTTCCCGAGTCTGATCTCTGGACTTGGGTGACTGGCCAGTCGAGCTCATGCAGGTTTTGTCATCTATTGGCAATGAGCTAGCCAACAGCATCTGGCAAGAGAGCAGCCAGGGGCGGACGAAACCCTCAGTAGACTCCACAAGGGAAGAGAAGGAATGGTGGAACCGTGCCAAATATGAGCAGACGCTCTTCCTGGCTCCATTACCCTCCAGGGAGCTGTCCCTGGGCCAGCATCTGCTGCAGGCCACCGCTGATGAGGACCTGTGGCCAGCCCTCCTGCTACTGGCACATGGCTCCTGGGAGTAGGTGAACGAGACCTGTGGGGAGGGAGACAGCTGCATGGCGCTCCATCTGGCCTGCCGCAAGGGGAATGTGGTCCTGGCGCAGCTCCTGATCTGGTACGGGATGGATGTCATGGCTGGAGATGCCCACGAGAACACAGCGCTGGCCTACGCCCGGCAGGCCTCCAGCCAGGAGTGCATCAAGGTCCGGCTGCAGTACAGCTGCCCCGACGAGCACGTGTAGTATCTGTTTAATTTTATTTGACTGCCGTCTCCTTGGTGCAAAAACAAAATGGGGAAATAAATAAGAATAACTCAGAAATTCAAAAGGAAATCACAAATTCAGCTAATAGCAGCATTTCCAGTACATTTCGTAAACTAAGTACATAGACAAAATGTTGATTTTTCCGACGGTAAGAGATATTTTATGTCCTTTTGCTTAGGTGTATGTGTTAAGTCTCAGGCCCTCCTGGGCGACATTGCCCGTGTCACACAGGCTTCTGTATTATGTATTTAGATACGTGAAAATATATTTGAAAAAAAGTTCATAATTGTGCATTGATTTTTGTACACATGGCACAGCTTTTTTTTTTTTTTTTTAATATGGTGTCTCACTCTGTTGCCCAGGCTGGAGTGCAGTGGCACAATCTCGGCTCACTGCAAGCTCTGCCTTCTGGGTTCACGCCATTCTCCTGCCTCAGCCTCCCAAGTAGCTGGGACTGCAGGCACCTGCCACCGCACCTGTCTAATTTTTTGTATTTTTAGTAGAGACAGGATTTCACCATGTTAGCCAGGATGGTCTTGATCTCCTGAACTTGTGATCCACCTGCCTCAGCCTCCCTAAGTGTTGGGATTACAGGCATGAGCCACCGTGCCCTGCTGGATGTTGATTTTTATCAAAAGCCTTTTCTGCATCTATTGAGAAAACCATGTGGTTTTTGTCTTTAGTTGTCTTTATGTGACAAATCACATGTATTGATTTGTGTATGTTGAACCAACCTTGCATCCTAGGGATAAAGCCTACTTAACTGTGATGGATAAGCTTTTTGATGTGCTGCTGGGGCTGAGTTTTGTTGAGAATTTTTGCATTGATGTTCATCAAGGATATTGGTGTGAAGTTTCCTTTTTTTGTTGTATCTCTGCCAGGTTTTGGTATCAGGATGATGCTGCCATCACAGAATGAGTTAC